GGGGGGGGGGGGGGGTTGCGCCAATGTTCTTTTTTTCCATTTATCGAGTAAAAGGTTTTTCGCATCATTTTGTACGCCATAGGAGAGAATGCAGTCGGTTTGCTTTTACGATTCGTTTACGCGCAGTGTCCTTTAAATGGCCGTGCTCATTAGCAGGTACGTTCCCGTTTACGAAGCAGATTATATTCACAGACATTTAAACAGGGATTTTTGTAAGCTTCGCCGTCTCGTTTCAATACGGATTATTGAATGCGATGTCGCGTTCGAAGGCACGTTGCATATCCACATATTTAACACACGAAATGCGATTAATATTCACAACATATATTAGAGTTATTTATTAAAATTTATTAAACTTTTTCCTTTCTAACGTTAAGCATTATTGCAATTAAATTTTATAAATTATAGTTAGATGATATTTGCTTATGCACAGGATCGCCAGCGGATAATGGCACTCTGGAAGTGAGCGATGAAATTTTAGAAGTGAACGGTCGCACCTTAGAAAATGCAACTCATACCGAAGTCATTCAATACATACATGAGGTAATTACATTATGGCATATCTCCGATTATATTTTTAGTAAATTCAGAGTTACTTAGTGAATTCGCACATTATTTTATGATTTGTCACATATAACAATTCATAAACTTCCATTATTTTTATGAAAATAAACAATACAAGATGTTCTTATTAAAAAAAAAGATAGAAAATGTGTATTACATCGCATATACGTCTACATTTTGTTTTTATATTTTCTTAATTATACGTAATACAAATAATCGTGTTTCCTTTGATTTAAGTGCATCGACTCTCGAACAATATGTCTGCGACTTCGGAGAAGCGGAAACAGAAACGTGGGTGAGTCAATTCTCTCCTATCTTTTATATCTCTACATTTTTTAAACGTATTATATATTTCTGGCCATTCAAAGTTAAAAAAAAAAAAAAGAGACGGAAATAAGTGAAGCGTCGAAGAGATTATAAAGACAATTTTTATTAAATTTGAATAACAAATACAAATATACATGTAACAAGTGTAAAAATATAGAAAGTTAAACTAAAGAAAAGAAAGTGGGGGAGACAGTGGGAACTAAAACAAATAGATCTATACTTACTTTTCACGTGAATTCACCTTATTCCTCGTTACTTCAAATGGGGCGGGGACATGATATTCTTTGAACAGATGTTTTTAAAGCAAATGAGACATTTCATTACCAACCGGATGGTATTGCCGCTCTATCACAACCGTGCTTGGGCAAACGCTCGTACGAATTTGAATACCGTTCAAATAGACGGGTCACAGTCGATTTCGTGTCCCGTATCGCGTTCCCGCCCTCGTTGAATAAACGCGCAACGTTTTAAACATTCCGTATAGAACGTCACGCGTGACGACAGACTTTGACGGGATATACAAAAATAAGAATTCGATCGCGGAGTCTGGAACGGTGTCGCAATTGATATTGACACGTGTTCCTGCCGGACACAATTTTCCAACAAACGGTGCTCTCGGAGCGATATAGTCCAGAGAGAGAGTATTCGAAAAATTCCGGAAAAATCTTTTCAAACGTAAATGCCGCATTCCTTTCTGTCAAAAGTAGCGGAGTCGCGTGTCGGAGAAGTTCCGCGTGAGAGAACTATGAATATAATATATACACATAGAATGCACGCTAGTGCGCTTTGAAATGTTATAATTACTTCATTTTTTTTCTTTCCCGGTTGGTGTATGGCATAGACGATAACGTGTCGTGCATACTGATAATACAGTGATTCATTCATATGAATAGCGCCGCTATATTACCCACGCTGATAACAGGCTTATTTCAATCGATTTCAATATTGCATCCGTGAAGTGAATGCGAATTGCAAGTCCTTTAATTCGTTTAATCACTCGAATCGTGCCTCTGTATCATTATTTTTGCCGAGTATTTATCAGGACTCGTAATATATTTCTGTATTCTGATTATTCCAATAATCATTACCATGCATCAATTTGTCCCATTTTATTCTATGAACAGCATTATTATCGTTTGCTCAAATCCCAAACGTGATGCATAACGTAGCCGTTTGATTCTCAAGTGATGTTTACGAGTTTATTGGACCGAGCTTGGGTACATTTCTTAGGCAATCACGCGTTTCAGCGCATTCGATGTCAATTTCTACAATGTAGATTGTAATCTCGATTTAACTTACTTTTTATTACGTTTTCGTGAATGAACTCTTGAAATTTAAAAAATCAGTTGTCAAAGGGCAAATGAGAGCACGGCGTTGTTGTTGTTACGCAAATCCAATAAAAATAGATTTCTTTAAAATCAATTTATTGGAAAATTAATTAGAACGTTTCGGCTCATTTTGAATCTTCCTCAGCTAATGCAAATTATTCATTTAAACATCAATTCAACTTAAGATAGTCCTTGTAAGACATGTCACATTAAATTGCTCGATTTTTTTACTTTTTATTATTATGTAGTTTTATCTTTTCTAAGAATCAAAGAAAAAATAGTGTAAGTTGAATCTGGAGAAATTAAAATTATGGTTGCATGTGCCACGTCTCAAAGTATTATCAAAACTATAAGAACAATAATAAGAAAGGGTTATTTAATAATTTAATATAATATTAATATATATATATAAACGTTTCGGCCTCGATTAGGCCATCTTCAGTATATCACTACAAAAGAGATTCTCGCCATTACAAATTATATGAGTTGTTGAAATTTCTCTCATTACAAGTGTAGAGTTCATTATTAAAATATTAGATTACCTGCACGCAGATTAATAAAGTAATTGAATCTTTAGTATCTTCCCTCGTTTTGCAAGAGTCTTGAAGTTACATATAGAGCCAGAATTTTGTTCCTTTAGTTTAGTGAATATTTGTAAAAATTCAGAGAATAATTTATTGAATGTCTTGTTGTAAAAAATCCGGATAATTTATTCGACACGAAAAAGTTTCCAGACTCTGTTTCTGAACAAAATCCATAAAAGTTTAAATGTTTTTTTATTATTGATAGATATAGTACATGATATACTTGCGTAGCACCTTCGGAATTCTGTCTAATTATAAAAATTTCATAGATATTGTCCTATTATTACATCTGAATATCTATGTAAAATTTGAACATATTTCCTTTATTAGTCTAAAAGTTATTTAATTTTTTCTGTTTGCCTCGATTCTCATATAAAATCATATTTTGCAGTTGTGAGACCAAATTCTGGCTGAAAATAAACGAAACACACCGTTCATTGTTGGTGTCAAATTAATTAACCGTGTCGTTAAAATGGACAAATGTCAAGCGTCAATTTTGATCACTTGACTTGTTTTGCCGTTAAAAATGAGCTTCAAGCGTCAGTATATGAGAAGGTATCTTCAGAATAACAATAAAAAAGACGCACGCGCGGTCTGAGGAATCGGCGAGCAGGTCCGTTCCGCGACGCGGCAAAATTCGAACGGCGCCAGGGTGGATCGTCGGCCGATTCCGCGAGGACTCGTGCAAATCCGACGCGTTCGCCAGGTAAACGCTCCAGGTGGCCGCGTACGGTATCGCGAAAAAGAAGGGGAGGGGGGAGAGAGAGGCAGGAGTGCAAAACTCCGGAGGTAGGCAGGTAGGCAGGCGGACAGGCTGCACATGGCGGACCAGGAGGTATAACCTTCGAATGGTATCCGCTGTCACGCTCCGCGCCGCGCGGCAGTACGGAGGAGCCGTTCGTACGCGGCAAGCGGTTCCGCGCGTTCCGTTCCGTGTTGGTTCACCGACGAGATCGGTAGGTCCTTTCCGGCGGCGAGCGCGACGACGACGACGGCCGTACGGACTCCTTGGAGAACGCGCGATTTCTCGCGTCAATTAATTATATACAGCCTGGCGTGTGATCTGGCGATTGCGGACGCGATCGCGCGCGAGTGCCATATCGCGGGTGCAGCCGCAGGAACGCAACGTGTTTTATACGCCTGTCGTTTTTCTGCGTTCGCCAGATCGTCGATGCTCCTCATCGGAGAGCGCGATCGTGCGACGGATGAATCACGATTCCGCGATCGATCGCGCGGATCACGAGCGAGCGGACCGTCGCGTCGCGTCGCGTCGCGCGGGTCGAAGGTGAAATCCCGCGATAGTTGCGCGCGTGACGAAGAAGTGAATTCGTGATAGATTGGTGCTCTGTGGTGAGATCCATCTGATATAGGGTATAGTGTTTGTTACGAGCGACTTCAACGAGTTCCCGCTTCCAGGCCAACGAGGAGATCCGTCTTGCTTCTTACCTATCTCTTTCTCTCTTCGTCATCGTCTCGGCGACTCGCTGATCTGCCGAAGGTAACTCTCCGCGCCTCTTCTCTTCACGTTGCGCTCTTTTCGCTCCTTTCTCGGCTGCACTTTGAACGATTCCGCGAGCGCGCGGAATTTCACGGTGTAACTTCTGTGCAGTACAGTTTCGGAGCCGCCGTACCGTTTTCTGATATACCATAGAAAACACGCGATCGGTACCAGAACGTGCCAACAACACGCTTTTCTCTCTCCGTGTCCGCTGCTGTCCTCTTTCCTTTCTCTCTTCCTCTTCCCGCCATTCGTCTCTCTTTCACCGTCTCTTGTGACATGTCGACTTCGCAATATCACGCGCGCCACTTATTTCCGATATACACGTTGTCGCGCCGCGGTTTTCCGCTCGCGTCCGCACTGCGTTTACGACCTGATATCGCGACTCGTGGCTTGACGTTTATTAAGTCTCTCTTACCGCTCTGTCACGCCGCGCCAGTTGCCGATAATTTTTCGCAGGCGTTCACGTTTGATTAATCGCGCGTAATCTTTCCTTTTCAAAAAATTCGTCGATTTATAAACTTCCCCTGCGTTGTATCATCTTGCGAATATTAACCTTTAAACGATAAAGATCTATTTTTTAAATCTTACAGTTTTTCCTTTAAGCAAGATTTGTCGTTTTACTATTTCATTTGGTAATTCATTATTTCATTGTATTTCTTACCTCAATTTCTTGCCTGAAAATCAACAATATTTCAGCGTTACTGTAATGGCTTTTCCATTCTGTAAAGATTAATAAATTTTCAATTTGATCGTAGAAGTGTTTTACTTAATCGCGTAGAAACCTCTTTTTTATTTATTCCGATTATCCAATATTCCTTTTTCACGCTCCGTCATCGTCGTTCTCGCGGGAACACTTACGAGAGCTTGTAGTAATTATTTAAACCCGATCACATCGCTCGTTTGTTTTTCTGGTTTCCTTCGCCTGTCACAATTACAAAAAGAATATACTATACAATACATATTGCATAAACGTTTTAATCTTATAAATTTGCGTATAAAATTTAGAGATGTGTGCGGTCCGTTAATATCTTCCTTTGCGATTCTATTTCTACTCATCGGATTTTATTCGCGCTTTACGAAATAGATTGTCTCTTATTGAGTTTTACGAAACGTTAGGAATATTTATTGGAATCGCAGGTGTAATAGATTCTCCAGGATAATAGACTATTGCGTTTTATGCATGCTTTTATATTAGTCCTCAACCGCATTTCTTGCATTGAGATATGGATATTTAGCCTTGCAGTAGGTTTTCTTTATGCAACATCAGAAAAGCATCTTGCGAAATTATTCCCAGAGTTTCATAAGATTCTTCTTCTAAACATGTGACATACTTAATTTACCAGTTGAAGTATCCACAAGATTTAAATGTTAGATGCATTGGGATGCTCGAAAAACGTAAACTAAATAAATCATAAAAATATGTTACGTTACTTTTGTGTTTTGCGCAATAAAGACATACATTTTTCTGAGATTTGATTTACACACGCATATTAAAACCTATATTCACACCTCACTTTTACGGGCGTATTTATTTCCTATATATATATTGTATATT